TTCTAATGTAATTTACCAAGTCGTCATCCAGAAAAAATTTTAATCCATGAAAAGGAATGCATTTTATGTGTTATATCAATTTTGATCCTGAAACTATTAGCAAATAGAAATATTGGGGGTACAATGTCTCCGTACGTTCATGAGATGGGCGTGTCAGGCACCGCACTCATGGTAGGTAAATGTTCATTATTACTGTCTTGTGGATAATTGTCTATCACTGTATTATTGTCACTATCAACTTCATCCAATTCAGGAATTATTATTTCATCGCCACTATCATCATCAGAAAAAATCTCGTTCACAACATTTTCCAGCTGGTCTGTAGGAACACGAAGACACTTGCTGCAAGAAGCCATGGTGAAACTGAATGAATGTGAAATATTTTCTGACCTTTACCTTCTCAGAGGGTTCTGACAGTAATATAGACCCCCACAAAGTTTACAAGGGTTCTTTACAAACATGCACAAAAACTATCATATATATGTCTTTGGTTGATGAGTGCCAAGAGAGCAAAGAAGGGACGAGATCGTCAAAGCGTTAAAACACGCCAACGCCAGGGAACGGCTGGCATCGTCCGGGCGTTAAAACACGCCCGCGCCAGTCAAAGAGTTAAAGAGGTGTTTCATGTGAAAGAAAGGTTATGACTTTCCAAGCACTGGTGAGAAACTTTCTCCAGATAAATAATTTGCAACCTAATCTCTTGTACTCCAGAGCTGCAGAGGCTCTTAGGGGTGGGGGACCAAGTTTAATAGCACTTCACTCAAATCCAACCCAAAGGCTATCGGTGAAGTGATACTGAATTTACTTATGGAGCTGAGCCCTTCTTGAGAAGCCTCCAATTCTGCAGCTGCCAATTCTGCAGCCGCCAATTCTGCAGCCACTCACAAATTTTCCAGCCTTTTATGGAACCCGAAGGTTCATTACTGTGTTCACAAGAGCCCTCCACTACCAATATCCTATATGCATTCCTCGCCTCCCCCATTTGTGCTACATGCCTTGCCAACCTCATCCTCCTTGACTAGTGATAATGAAAACAGTTCAAAAATAGAAATATGTCTGGTGGGAAACCTCTGCAGTACAAGAGATCTGGTTGTAAAAGCATTTATTGCTATTCTNAAAAAGAGGGGGGGGGGGGGGGAGCACTCAAGATAGTTGCTATGTTCGCATATCTTCTTACTGATTGTGCTCTTGGCCCTGTCAGCCATTTTAAAGATAGTTAATGTAGGTTGCGTACAGATGGCAGCAGCACTGCACCGTGGTGTCATGGCGGGCAATTTGCCCACCAATAACATGGGAGTTTCACTTTCACGGGGCTGTTCTTGAGTAGCTGCACAACTGGCAGCTTCTCAAGAAGGGCACAGTTGTATGAATGAGGTTGTGATAAAGGATAAACTTGATGTTTCTTCTGTTTTGACAGGAAAATTTATTGCTGGATTAGTAGACAGGAATCCGACATAAACAGCTGTAATTTTGACTCATGTGATTCCAGATATCATTCAGCAGATATTGTGATGTTGTGCAGTGTTGTTCTGTGTGTACATGGTCACATTTTTATATGTTATTTTATCAATACTGTTTATGTCAAGATGGACCCAGCATGTTCCTCTGAAACAGATTACATGATGCCACATTCTAGAAAACAGTATTCTTCATGTCAAATAGGATACACTGTATGAGGTATCGCACAATGTTGACATCCAGCTTAATAACATTATGGCAGTACAGTGTTACAAATAATCTGTGCAAAACAGTGTTTAGAAGTGACATCTAAGAGTTCATGGTGATGGTATATTAACAAAATTGCCAATTTCTTGGACACTTTCATCATCAGAATGTTATTTGAGATGATGATGTGAAGGCCAGACTCTTTATGTTCACCCTCAGGTGAGAAGCTTACTCTGTTGGGCCCAACAATATATGCTTCTTACCTGAGGATGGAGACAAGAGTCCCAGTCTCCAAAATGTTTAAAAATTTCAGCAGTGGATAATGTCAAAAACATTGATCATTCTACATTCTTTGTAAGTGGCAAGTGGATATTCATCATAGTGTAACATGACACCTGAGAGGTGTAATGATGGAGACAGAAGAGACAGTCACTGCCAGGCAATGGCTCGATAAATGTGTCCACAGCAATGGAGGACCTGTTGGAAACTGCATTTTCTATGCAATCCATGCCAAGGTAGCCAGCCAGTCACCAGCAGCTAAGGACATAAGTGCAGTAGCTGAGACATCTACATTGTTGGGAGCCGTTATTGGTCATTGACTGGTGAAGACATAGAAGACTTCATGTGTGCTGTGGTACAGTGGTTTGTAGTGTGTGTATGTTATTGAAACTGTTATAAATATGAGTCAGTAAACCCAATTATCAGTCCAAATCCTGTGTCTAGTTACTAACATGTGACAGTATGTTAATCCTCCAGTTTGCAACCCAAATGCATGAGCTTTGCATCCTGGTGGACGGAACAAGTGCGCGCACAATATTTTGGCTGGAGTTCACATCATGTTGACAGGCTTAGCTGCACATTTGGATTTCTTGCTTGAATTATCTGTGTCCTGGTACTCATCTTGGACTTTTTAATACCAAACAATTCTTCTTTACTACCCATCCCATTTTCCTTAATTGAAACAAAATCCTTTTTTGCAAGTAGACAGTAAGATGTCACTGCTGTAGAATTTCTTCATGCAATTTACAGTGCACTCACTGAAGACTCTCTTAGGCCTGATGTACAAGGTGTGTCCCAAAAGTCATGAAATATATTTCTTTCCCGCGCTCCTACTGGTCGGAGCGCACTGGAACCGGTTCAGTTAGGGGGGGAGGCCTTTAGCTTCACAGCGCGCCCAAGGCCAGTTGCTCGAGCATTGGAGGCATCAGTATTGCTGATTTAGTGCACCTGTGTTTTGTGACCACGTCACGGTGCGCAATGGCGGATATTTTCGAACAACGTTGGGCGCTCAAGTTCTGCACAAAGATCAATAAAAAAGCTGCCGAAACTCACAAACTGCTTAAGCAAGCCTAAGGGAGTCTGCTCTATCATATGTGCAAGTTACAAGGTGGGTGAAGAAGTTTAAGGAGGGCCAGGAAGGAGTGGAAGATGACCCCCGCTCTGGACGGCCATCAACAAGCCAAAACGATGATAATGTGACTCGTGTGCGTGATTTGTTGAATACTGACCGTCGAATGACTGTCTGGTTGTTAGCCGACACTCTGAACATTCCAAAAACCGTTGTGCATCACATCATTATGGACGAATTGAACATGCGAAAGGTGTGCGCCAAGCTGGTCCCCAAATTGTTGACGGACGAGCAAAAGGCCAATCGAGTGTTGATCGTGAGTGAATTGAAGGAACGTGTGGAAATTGAACCTCATTATTTAGACT